TCTTTCTTTCTTTCTTTCTTTCTTTCTTTCTTTCTTTCTTTCTTTCTTTCTTTCTTCAAAACCATGCCATTAGCTCTACCCCCTTGTTCCCCATTCCAAATTTAAAAAATAAACACAGAACTCTTGTAACAAATACACATGGTCAAGCAAATCAAATTCTCACTTCAGCTATTTTTTTTTTCACTTTGGCTATTTTCAAAAATGTGTGTCTCATTCTGTACTCTGAGTCCATGATCTCTCTGTCAGGAAATAGGTAGCCTGTTTCATCATCAGTCCCCTGGAAGATTGGCATTGGTGTTGATCAGAGTTCTTATGTTGTAAAGCACTTTGCATCTGTAAAGGGTGACATAAATATGAGTGAAGTTAATAGTCACTATTAACTTCTTTGGGTTACATCTACTTCATCTGAAGAATGAGGGGCTGGCCCAGATAATTTCTATGATTCCTTCAAACTTTGCCATTCTGGGATTCTGAATTGCTTTTTCTATATGAATATGATATGATTCAGTTTTCAGAGATAAGCACAGAAGGGGGAAATCATAGGGCAGATAGGATGTGTAATGCCCTATATCAATAACTGATGAATCCAGAGCTCAGGAAGAAATACAGCTGGATGCCCTGAGAAGCTTCCCTAAAGGGTGTAGGCTAGGAACCCTGCTTAGTGGTTCTTGGTCCTAACAATAACGTACATTCTTTGCTATAAATGAAACCAAAATAAATGAATAATTTTTAAAGCATTTATTAAATGCCTCCCATGTGCCAGGCATGGTGCTAGGTTCTGGAAATAAAAGTATAAAATTGAGATAGTCCCTACCCTCAAGAAGCTTACATTCTTTTTAAAAACTTTTTATTAATTTATTTTGATTTATCAGCAATAACTTCCATAAGCTTTTGAGTTTTAAATTTTCTCTCCCTCCTTCCCCACCTCCCTCCCCAAGATGGTGCACAATCTGATTTAGGCTTTACATATACATTCCTATTAAACATATTTTCACATTAGTCATGTTGTAAGTAAGAACTAGAACCAATAGGAGGAACCACAAGAAAGAGGAAACAAAACAAAACAGAAGAAAAAAAATAGCAAATAGTATGCTTCGATCTGTATTCAAACTCCATAGATCTTTTTTTGGATGTGGATAGTATTTTCCATCATAAGACCTTTGGAGATGTCTTAGATCTTTGCATTGCTGAGAAGGGCTAAGTCTATCAAAGTTAGTCATCGCACAACATGGCTGTTACTGTGTGCAACGTCATCCTAGTTCTGCTCACTTTACTCAGCATTGGTCCATACAAATCTCTCCATGTTTTTCTGAAGTCCACCTGCTCACTGTTTCTTATAGCACAATAGTATTCCATCACATTCACATTCCATAACTTGTTCAGCCATTCCCCAATTGATGGGCAACCCTTCAATTTCCAATTCTTTGCTACCACAAAAAGAACTGCTATAAATGTTGTTGTACATATAGGTCCTTTTCCCATTTTTATGGTCTCTTTGGAATAC